AAACAAACAAACGCAGTTATGTTACATACCCTATTGCTCAGTATTATTCATGATGAATGGTTTTAAACTTTGCTCCCTACACCTGGCCGGTTTTAATATGTTCCATCTTGTTAGTTTGCTTTACTCTGTTCCTGGTTTTTATTTAGTTTTGAGGGTGGCGGCTCTAGTTTGTTTATGGGTTCATTGTTATGGGGATTGAACTGATTTTTTTGGGGTACTACGAAGGTACGTGCTTTAAGACGGACTTTGGCATAGTTTTATCCCATATTTTGGGAGGTTGAGGGTTTCTCAAGATGTAGTTTTTTAGGTTAAGTGGTATTACGTTGGGGAGCAAGATATTTTGTAGAGAAAAATTCAGAAATGTGACTTAAAATAAGATCTACAAAACTAGAGGTGACATGACTATATTATTCTGTCAAATGAGTGACGAAGATAGAACAACAAAGTGAATAAAGTTTGACCATGTGAATAGTAAACGAGAAGTTTATTTGTAGACGGAGGGAATATTTTCTTTTTTTATTTTCATACATGTATAGTGTTTCATACACAAAGATGGCTGAGTAAGAAAAAATGAAACTTTTCCTTAAAAATTTAAAATACAGTTTTCTATCAAAATTTTAAATTTATTTAGTCAAAGTATAAAACAATAAAAATCATAGAGGAAATTAATGAATACATCTTTTCATCGCATACCATGATATCTCCAAAAATGAAATGTCTAACAAAGTTTTTTTATGAAGAGTTAATGTATTATCCTTCATATGTACATGCGTGTATAATATTTATGTACTCCATCAATAGACATTGTGCTTAAAAAACTTTAATTAATTCACTTATTTATTTAAAAGTAAATTCTATAACAAGTCCACAATTATAGGTCGTTTTACATAATTAGTCCTTACATATCAAATATCAATAATTTAGTCCCCAATTATTATACTTCGTATTGTTTTCCACAAATGGTCCTTTGTTAACATTTCTGTTAATAACATGGATAAAAATATATATTCACACTTCTTTCTCTCCTTAATTAAACTTCCTCCCTTCTTCCCAAACTCGTCACTAAGTTTGAAGCTCAAAACCCATAACCGAAACGATCACTTCTCTCTCAATTATTCATCTTCTCTTCTTGATGTAATCAAAAATCAAAACCAATAACCTTCATGGATGACTTTTATGATTTAGTCTCAGGAAATTGCAAAGAAAACAAACCTTAAAACTCATCCTTGAAAGTTACAGGTTTCGATTTTCAGTTCGGACGAAGAATTGAGAGAGGAGTGATGATTTTAGTTTTGAGTTCAAAACTTCAAACGCAGTGGCGGGTTTGAGAAATGAGTGCAAGGGGTGAAGGGAAACTTAATTGAGGAGAGAGTGGAGTGTGAATTTACAATTCTTTACATGTTCTTAATGGAAATATTAACAAATTAAAGGACAATAATTCATGGAAAACAATATAATAATTGGGGACTAAATAATTGATATTTGATATGTAGAAACTAAATATAAAATATAAAATATAACTAGAGTCCTTTTATGGAATTTACTCTTTATTTAATGTAAGTTTTATTTTTTACTCCCTCCGTCCCAGAGTATTCATCCACTTTTGACTTTTTTTGGTCAAAATTGATAAACTTTGACCTCAAATTAAATAAAAATGATATTAGATATTGATACAAAAATAGTTTTATTTCATTTATTATATCAAATATTTTTAAAATATCATTTTATCTAATTAATATACAATATATATTTTATTAAATTGTATGTCAAAGGTTAAAAATAGTTGACTGGAAAAAGTCCAAACTAGACAAATACTCAGGGACAGAGGTTATAACTAGGGGTGGACACGTTACCGTTACCGGCGACTGTCACCGCTGGCCGGCACATCCCAACAGTTGCGGGAAACGGTACCGGAACCACCCCCTCAGTACCGGTTCTGGTACCAACTTTTTGGTACCGGTACCGGTTCCGGTACCAAATTTAATTTTTTTGATTTCCTGTCCAAGCAATGATCCACCTGCAAAAAATTGCAAAAAAAAGTTAGTGGGGTGGGGGAGACCTCAACGACTACAGAGCTGTTTGAGGTGGGGTTGGGGTTGGGGGATGTGGTAGAAAAACATACTATATATAAACCATTTTTTTTTAAAAAAAAAATTCACACTCAACTCTCAAATCTCAATCTCTCATTTCTCAATATATTCCTCATTTCATCTCTAATTATCTATTAATTCTTATTATATCTTTTCAATCTTTATACAATTTATATTTATATAATAATATAAATATATATTAATATATTATATAATAATATATAAATACATTTATTATTCATATAATCATATTATCAAATATTATTATTTAGTAAATTATTATATTATTGATTTGTTATAAATTAATATTATAATTTCGAAATTTAACATATAATTAATATATTAAATATTTAATGTAGTCCTTTTTTATCAAAAAAAATATTAAATTGTCGAGAGAGTCCGGTAAAAGGTCCGTGGATATGGGCGTCGTGAACTGAAGTTCGAGGAAAGGCAAAGCTATAGCCACCTCTGACGGTTTGAGCTCACTGCACGTGCTTCTCAAGGAAGATAATCTGTCTCTTCCTTCCTGAATGTCCCTAATCAATTCGTGGGCGACGCTTTGTCAGATCAAGAAATCGAACATTATATGTCAGGTAGAGCCGACGCCAATCTCGAAATTCTTGAAAGTATATTCGAGGACATTGATGCAGTAGAAATGGACGTGGAGCCTACACCGCATAACAACAATCCTACCAATGTCGACGAGGAGGTAGGTGAGCCCGAGACCTCTCAAGGCCCGGCGTTAAAACGCCTCATCACACCGTGGGGCGTGAGAGGTATACCCAGTGCCCTAACTGGTTTTTATTTGTTCCATCTTGTTAGTTTTGTAAATACTCCCTCCGTCCCGTACAAACTTTCCAATTTGACTTTTAAAGGATTTAAGGGGAGTGTATTTTGTTGTTGACTTTCCAAAAATGCCTTTTGATGTGATGGATAAAGTAGGATGTGATAGGCAGATTAATAGAGAAAAAGTGTGATGTGATAGGTAGATTAAGAATTAATAGGGGTAAAAATGACTTTTTAATAGGAAAAGAGAAGTGTTTTTTTGTTGGAACACGGGTTACGCCTACATCGTACTAAACCGTGTTCGTTTTATGACAGGTTTTGATAATGCCAAACCGCCGACAATAACAAGGCTAAAGTGAGCAAAACCAAGGCAAAGGAACATGACATGATGATTTGAGAACCAAGAATCAAGAACGAAGACTTAGAATTGTATTGAGTCGGTCTTAATGTGATCAAGACCGGCACAAACTTTCAAAACATGGCTATCTAGGCTCATATCATCAAAATACTTTTTGCATATTCAAAAATGTTCTTCTTAAGTTTTAAACATGCCTAAAAACACCTGGAGTTCGCCCAAACCAAAAACCAAGCCATCCGGCGTTCGGTGTTCACGAACCGGCGTTGGTTTTTGGTGTCCGAACCAACCAAGTAGTTTTCAACTTTTAATGGTTGGTTTTTACTTCCAGGCGCATTTAAATAGTTCTCCAACAAAAACGCTTCAAAAACTACTTTCCGTTTTTGGTCGTTTTATGAAAACCATGTGAAACGGCGTAAACATGGCTAGCCGTGGTTTTCAATTAAATGACATGGTTTTTAAGGTGTTTTACTTGATTACTTAGCAAAATGCATTAAAAAAACGTTATCAGTACTTGGTTTTTATTTTGGAGAACCTACATTTTTGTCATCGGCTAACCGCATGACTAAACAAACCATGGGTCTGGCTAAACCAGCCCAACAGCGATGTTGGTGTAACCAACAACGCTGTCTGGCATGGGAAGCTGAAGACCATGGTTTGGCGTTAAGTCCTCCAACAACGATGTTGGATGTTAGACGCTGCTGTTGAGCCAAGGTTGGGTTTCCAGAAACATCTGGAACAGCGATGTAGACTACCCTACATCGCTGTCCAACCTAAGCAAAAAAGAAATGCTTCTGGCAGAAAGTTTTTGGACAGCGATGTTGACCCAGCGACAGCGCTGTCAGGCCAAACTTTCCACCTTCAAAGTCAGACCTAAACAGCGATGTTCAAGTAATGAACATCGATGTAGGGACGTGACCGTTGGAAGGAATTTAAGGCTAAAACTTTCCTTGTTTGGAAGTCAACAGCCAAAACAGCGATGTAGGGGTATTGGACATCGCTGCTGGCATGACCGTTGCTTCCCATTTTTCAAAACCCAAGCCTAGAACAGCGATGTCCAA